AGAGGAATCTCGTCTCCAAGAACAATGAAAGGTAAGTGAGAGAAGGCAACAAGCAGAAGCTGAGCTTTGTATCGCTCAAATGTAGTTGGAAGAGTTGAAGGTTGGTAGAAAGGAAAAAACTGATTCTCGAAAAGAGTAAGTTTCAATTCCTCCATCTAATGAGGATTCTAAGGGAGAGGAGGTGCAGAGGAATCCATCCCGAAGAAAGAGGGGAACTGGGGGTCATTCACGCATTTAAGCCAGTCAAAAGAGCAAAGTTTTGCCTTCTTTGCCAAGAATGACGGATTATTATATCCCTGTGCTTCGTCTAGATGAGGAGTTTCTCGCACTATCTTCGTTGGCATGGAAGACGTGTACCATGCCACAAGCAAGTTGTCTTCCAGACTGTGTCGGTGATCAATGGGTATATAGGGATAAACCACTAAGCTCTGAGCAAAAAGAAGAACAGAAAGGGGATCATCGCATTCAACAAATCGATGATGAATCCACTTCCTTAATTGGGGTTCATCAGGTTTTAACCAACTTTCTCAGCTAATGGACTTGAAGGAAGAAGAAGCGGTTTTGTCCCATGCGGAGAGTGGTGGGGCAGAAGAGGAGCTTCTAAGATCCATTTCTGCAAATGCATGGTCTAAAGGTTTGTAGTTGGCAAATTCTTGGTCTAAAGGTTGGTAATTTGCAAAAGCTTCCATGACTTGTATAAATGGAGGCGGATAAGTGTAGCCAATAAATGCATTAAGGTTCTTTCGAGGCCTGCAATCATCTTCCAAAGACTCCTCGTATGCTCGATCAATGCAAGAGAATATGTGATTGGCCATTGGGAATGTACCAGTCTTTTCGTCTACTCCAAAAATAGAAGTGCAAAGCACAAGGATTTAATGAAGTTCACTGCTTCATTATTCAAAAAACAGTTATATGCACGTCCTAGGACGTGGTGGATTGTACTAGTCCACTAATATCACCAAGTATTGGATATATTAGTGTAGAGGGTAATGTTGGCTATATAAATTGTAAAAACCAATTGCAGAGTGACGCGTGGCACCTAAAGGGAAATTTGAAGAATTAAAGCAAATCTCCAATTAAAGACAGACACATGGTAGTGCATATTGGTAGTATCGGATCTGCGTGGCATCTGAATAGTTAAGAGGCGCGAGATGACGTAGCCTAATGGTTACCTACAATTCAAATTCAAATTCAAAAAGAAAGCCTAACTGCAAAAGAGACGTAGTGGGAGCTAGTTGAGCGAAGCCATGACCAGAGATCGTGGAAACGTATTTCGACAGTTAGAAGCCCACTTCGACTGTTATCACTAAAGAGTATAAATAGCAGAGAGTGCTAAAGACTCAGATCCAAAAACCAATCATTTACTTCATATTTTTCTTTCCATGTTTTTTATATTTCCAATTCTTTACATTTCCAGCACTTCTGCACTTCAATTCTTATGAGTAGTTTTTCAGTAGTTTGTTGTTGTGAACCTTGTCAAGACTGGGTCATTGTAACTTCATTGTAAGTTTTTATTTGCTTAATGAAATTCGATTTATGAATTATATTTACTTGTTACTATTTATAATTTTCTCCTAAACAAGTTACCAGTAAAAGTCCTCTTTATTGAGGCTGAAAGAATTTCAACACAATCGCTTGATAATTGGTTGGTAATTATAAAATCTGTAAGGACGAATTGATCATTACTGGCACGTTTAAATTTACATTATTAGCCTTCGAAAGCCAAAAAAATCAACAGAAACACTAAAAGAGAGAGACAGAAAGAGAACAAATGAAGAAATGCAACAGTGGTTGTTAGAATATAAAGCGTTGAGGAAGCAAATGAATGAAAAAACACTGAGGTTGTTTCATAAAAGAATAATGTTATATAAAGAAATAAAATTTTACTCACTGATATGACATCTATTATATCATTAAAGTAAAGCCTCTGTTTGGCAACTTAGATTTTGGGCTTTTTTGGCTATTTTAGCCACAAAAGACAAAATAGGCTATTTTAGCTACAAAAAATAAAACATCACATCCAACCCATAATCATTACACTCTTTTCTCACAAAAAAAATCTAAAAAAAGCCAAAAAGTCCTTCCCAAACCAAGCTTTTTAGCACAGGCTAAAATAGCCAAAAAAGCCAAAAAGCTAAAAAGCCAACCTACTTCCCAAACCAAGCCTTATGTTTTAATTTCTAAAAATTTCATTATTGCATGACAAATTTGTTAGTAAAAGGAATAAAAGAATTTATACGACATTTTCCTTCTAAAATTTTAAAATTTTGTATATATATATTAACCTCATTAGGTCAATTTATAAAACTCTAAAATTTAATATTTTGTTTATAGATTCACTGGTGTCATTTTGCTGGAACCCAAAACTGTTAGACAAAATTTCACATGTATTTGAACAAAATTTGAAAATCCAAGTGGTGTCAAACAATGAATAGCTCCGCCCTGGAATCAGGTTATAGTCACACTTTTTTAACATTTCTTACCCCCAACTCACAGTGATACGGGGTTCCTTTCTATGGTAATTAAACAATAAAAAATATTTTTAAAAAAATATGTGACTGAAATATTACTCACTAGTTTATAACCAATTCATGCCAAATATTTGGCTATATATAAAGGATGTGACTATATATAAAGCTTTTTTTTTTTTTTCCTCTGTCTTTACAACTAATGATTTTTAAAATTTTACAGAAGTTAAATAATTCCTATACTGTTACAATGCACCAATACTAATTTGTCCACTAATGCCTGCATTAAAACCCTGTTAGTAGCTTAATCGTGTTTAACTATTTTTTATATTTATTTTTTTATTTTATTTTATTTTTTTTTTGCAAGTGCTTCTATAAATCTAATATTGAAACAAATTCATTTTCTCATCATGAATATCATGATTGCTGTGTAAATCCTGTGACTTTTGTATCGATATCTCTCTCCATAACAGAGAGAGAGAGAGAGGCTGTTGACAATTTTATAAGTGCCAAAATGCGTCACTAATATAATGGACATAAAAATTTTAAAATTATTTAAAATTTTATATCAATATTTTAAATTTATTTTATATGTAAATCTTATACTTTATCAATTCAATCTTCACCATTTAAATCTAATTTTAAATACATCCAGGATCCTAAATTTTGGGACTCTAGCCTTTTTGCACAATGCATACACATGTTTGGTGTCTAAAACATTATGTGAAGAGTAATGCTATAGACCACTAATTTACCATCACTAATATCACCACTAGTGAGGTGGCAATTGAAAAAAAAAAAAAAAAAAAAAAAAAACAAGGCACAAAACACATGTGGCAGTGGATAGAACCTACTGTCACATCATTAGAGCCACCACTAATTAGTAGTCTAAAGCATTTTTGTTATGTGAATTACGGTGGATCCATAAACTGTCTAATTCAATCCCAACAACTCACAATTGTTGCTGATGTGTGACCTGAATTGGGGTTGCTTGAATATCTTTAAAAAGTCACACTCAGAAAATTGGTAAACCATCAAAATCAAGCACCTTTAAAAAACGTAACTGGACATTAGCTTCAATCCACAACAACCTAGTATGCAAGTTTGCTCTATATCTGAGGTCACATGGAATCCAATATATTAACGTCCCGTTTGGAAACAAAGTGTTTTAGTAATTTTTTAATTTTTTAATTAAAATATAATATATAAAAATTAATATATTTAAAATAATTTTTTAATTTTTTTACGAAAAGATATAAAAAGTATAAAGAATAGAAAATTTTTGATTTTTTTTTTATATAAGTTATTAATTTTTTTATTTTTTTTTATAACCTTTTAATTTTTAGACCACTTCTCGACTTCTAATTTACTTTTCGCTTTCACAAAAAAGTAAAAAATAAAAAATAAAAACTCAAAAAATATAAGTTGCGTTCGGTGAAGCTTTGTAACTATGATTTGAGAGTGTAAATTGTATTTTGAGTTTGTGAGATTTAGAATTATGATTTGAGTATGAAAAATTTATTTGGTAAAGAGTTTTGAAAATAATTGTGAATTGAGTAGAGAATTGTTAATGTGACATTTGATATAAAAATTTACAACTCATTACCAAACATACAACTCAAAATTATTTTAAAGCACATAAAAAATTTTAAAAATTTCAAAAAATGTTGTTTTCGAACATATAAAAATTAACATATCAATTGAAAAAAAAAAATTCACTATTTCAGTCAATCGATGGGATGACTGATTAGGCAAAATTTGCAAAAAAAAAAAATTTCAAAAACCACACATGAGACAGAATTCTCTGTAGAGTTTTGAAAACGTGATTCCAAAACTCGTTCCAAAAATCATATTTAAATATAAGCACAGAATCACATTTTCAAAACATAACCAAATCCAGCCATAATTTTTAACTATCTTCTTAAAAAACTCAAATACAAGAAACTCAAGTATAAGAGAGTCAAACCTGAACTTACATGCAACCAAAGAATGGAATTTCAAGAGTTATATCCTCACTGTTTAATCACGTCTGACATCGAATATCAATCATTACACAAATCACTCAGGATTAATTTGAGAAGGGATTTAAAAATAAAAAATTAAATATAAATAAATAAAATATATTTATATTTTACATAATTTTACACTTTTTTTATTTATTTATTTTTTTTCTAAATCTCACTTTAAATTTCTCAACCAAATGGAAGATTAAGGTAAGCAGGGAGGATAGGATACAAAGACTCTAATCATTTAACTATTACAAATTTATAGAAATTCAAACATAGAATATACCACTCATAATTGGGTAAGCACTGAGGACAGGATAAGTCTGTCATCGTTTAACTATTTACAAATTTATAGAAATTCAGACAGAATATACCACTCAGAATTGAGGATAGGATAAGCCTGTCATCGTTTAACTATTTACAAATTTATAGTAATTTAAACATAGAATATACCACTCATAATTAAAGCAATTTCAAAAAAAACAAAAAAAACAAAAACCCAGAAATAATTTCACTCACACTATTGTGTTAAACCTAAATCTCATTAGGTGACTCAACTGAAAATCACAACCCATTATCTCATATTCACTTGATGTTCCTTTCATCTACTGTCAGCTAAGAAAGAATAGAACTTTACAGATTGTTTGTCGATTCCCGTAACTGTTCTATATACACAAGTGTGTTAAAACCTTTATTTTTTTTTTTTTTCTTTGTTTTTTTACATGGGATAGTTGAAGCTTTGATACCCCGTTGAGGCTCCTTGATTAGGGAACTGAGGTGGTGGAGGAATCGAATTGGTGTCAACCGTGGTGGTGATATCGTGGATGCTCGACCTCTTCCTCTCCTTCTTCGCTGAGTTTTGGCGAAGGTAGTATTTTTGGGCATGGCTAGCCACTTGTGTCGGTGTTCTTGTCACCACCACGTTTCTTGAGATGCTCCGCCAATCACCCTTGCCATAAGTCTTGAGACCTAGTAGAAATAACCTATAAACAGAAAACATAAACAATTAAAATCAAAAATTAAGTATTAGCTTTCATCATTGAAAATGGTAACACGAGGACCTATTGGAAGGACCCCTAAATATTTTTCTCGCATTTTGCTGAAATTGTTGATATGAATGGCACTGAAAGGACACACCACAAGCCGTTTTGACCATTTGAGCCACTTTTGAGCCACAAAATTTGAGCTACATAGCATTGTCGTTGGCTAAAATAGCCTCTCGCCAAACAGTATTATTAGCTTTCATCATTGAAAATGGTAACACGAGGACCTATTGGAAGGACCCCTAAATATTTTTCTCGCATTTTGCTGAAATTGTTGATATGAATGGCACTGAAAGGACACACCACAAGCTATAAAACTCTGTTTTGAGGGGGTGATGTTTCAAAAACCTGTGTCCAACTCATAACATAAACTAGAAAGAAACAAACAAACAAACAAAATCTGAAAATGATGAATTCTTCCACATGATTTTTCCAAGAAAATTATCTTCTCCGTTTCCGTTTCCTTTGTTTCAGGGATCAGAAAATAGAAATTACTTTCTAGAAGTAAATCGCATTCAATTTCAATTTTTTCAAAATTTTCTTTATTCGTAAGCTATGAACTTTATAATAAATAAAAAAAACCGTCAAAGTTTTCGTTTTCTTTTCCAATTCCTCCGTTTTCCCAACAATCAAACAGACCGTACACCAAGAAAGCAACCCGCCCAACATTTTTCATTAACGCAACTCCAAAAAAGCACCAAAACTCAAACTCTGTCTAGGTTAAAATTAATTAACCCAATTCGCTCAAGAAACTCCAAAACCTAGCTCGATCCTCAAAAAAAAAAACAGAGACATTTACATAATTTCTAGGATGGACCAGCAAAGCAACAAAAGAATCAATAACATAGTAATATTTCATAACAAGATCTGTTTGGCAGCCAAGAAAATAATCAAAAAAAACAAGTACCTGTGTTCTTCTTCCGTCCACGGGGTTCCTTTCTTCCTATCGGCCTCGCCGTGCTTAGTCTTCGCCGCCGCCGAGGACCCAAACGAGATCTGACTCGGCGTGGACTCGGGCTCATCCCACCAATCATCGGAGTAACTCGGCAATTCGACTCGGCCCGAGTCAATCTCGAAAACGTCGTGAACCAGAGCCTCGTAGTGAGCCCTAACCTCCTCCGGCGACTTCCCCGGAATCTGTTCAGCGATCATCTCCCAACGCTCGGCCTTTTCCTCGGGAAACATCACCAGAGCTTGCTCGAAGACCTTGTCTTCGAACTTCGTCCATGACGACGACGACTGAGTCGCCGAGGAATTGCCGATCATCGACCACCGATTAGTATCACTGCTACTATAATTATGATGATCGCCAAACATCATTGAATTGAATCGATTTGCTATTTATATAGGGGGGGTTTGATTCTGCGTCTCTAGATTTTGGTGAGAGATTTAAGGGGAGACTTTCGTTTTGGGATTTTTTTTTAATATGAGAGAGAGTGTGTGCATATCAGTTGTATATATATAGGTGTGAAGTGATGAGTCGTTTTGGGTGTTTTTCAAAAACATTTTTTTGTTTTTTTAAATTATTTAGAGTACAATTACAACACGTAGCCGCCTAAAGGGCGTTTCCATTTAGAGCTGGATTTTAGCTTTCGTTTCGAAATAATTTTTTTAATTTGTTTTTTATAATTTGATTAAAACAAATTTGCTTAAGAAGAATTTTTTTTTTAAAATTTTATGATAAAAAAATTAAATAATTATGATTTAGATATGACATTTTGTCTTATTAATTTTTTTTAATTTATTTTGTCTTTTAATAGGCTAAGATTTCATTTGACAACTCACTATTTTAGCCTAAAAGTTAAAAAGTCATTAAAAAAATTAAAAAAACTATCAATCTCTATCAAAAAATTAAAAAATTTCTTTTCTGTTTACTGTTTGTACATCTTTTTATAAAAAATTAAAAAATCATTCCAAATATATTAATTTTTTTAAACTTATATTTTAATAAAAAAAAAATCAAAAAATTATTAAAATAGCATGTTCCCAAACAAGGCCTAAATTAGTCTTAACCTACTTCCCAAACAAAATCAGATTCATTTCTTAGAGCATTTCCAATGTTTACTTCTTTATATATATATATATATATATATCAAATATGAGTAAAAGTTTCCTTAGATATCGCGTGTTCTAACAGAGTAATTTGAGATTTCATCAAACTACCAGTCGACCGAAAGGACGATCAAGAGATGTGTGGCTAGTTAAATGGCTAGTGTAATTTGTTCAAATTCTGAAACCAATGTTTCCTCAATTTTGCAAGGAGGTAGTCGACCAAGGGGACAATCGCCCGAATGGTGCTCATTTATTAACATCCTCAATTTGACGAAAAATTTGATATATCATCAATTTGATATTAATTTGATAATAACGTTGGAGCATCAATTTTGTGCATTTTTCATCAAATTTAAATTTGATAAAATAAAAAATAAAACATTGAAAACGCTCTCATATTTATTATTAAAAAAAAAATTACTTACAACACAAATTTTACTTAGTACTATATTTTTAGTATATTATATTAATGAATATTTCTGTAAATTGACATAAATAATAAAATATGACAGTAAAAAAATAATTGATAATCATTAGAGAAACGTCTAAACCATATGTATTTTATAATTAAAAATAAAAAATGGCATAATTTTAATTTTTTAAGTTATAATTAAAAAAAAATCATAACTAAATACAATATGAGATATAATTAAAGAATTCATAAGTCATAATTAAAATAATGTCATAATTAAAAAAATAATTAAAAAGAAGAAAATAATATAATTAAAAGTATATATGATATACCATTTTTAAAAGTGTATATATCAGAATTTCCCTAATCATTATGATAGTTTTAACTTTAACTCTAACTTGATTTTGTTTTTGTGGAAGTCCTTTAATTTAACGCAACACTTAAACAATGTTAATGAGACTAATGTGCATTATTCTATCAAGTTCAAATCGTTGTAAACATGCATTAATAGTATAACTAAGATGGTATATTTTACAGATGTTGTTAATAGGATGTGATGGAATATTTTAATCCACAACCAACAATACATTATTTGCTCATTTTCAAATAATATGATAATTATGTACACATTAATTCTCAAAACAATTCTGACAGACTCAAAACAATTATGAAATGTCAGAAAGTCAAAAAAAATAACTCAAAATGTCAAGTTCTCAAGCAGACTCTTAACGCCTTATTTGAAAATTAGTTGTTTTAATTGAATTTTTAATTTTTTATAAAAATATATACATAAAAGTAAAGAAAATGCTGACAATTTATAATGAGTTTTTGATTTTTTGACTATTTAGGTGTCGTTTGAGAATAGCTCATTTGGGCTCTTTTGGCTCTTTGAACCACAAAAGACAAAATAGGCTATTTGAGTTACAACAAACAAAACATCACATCCAACACATAATCATTACACTCTTCTCTCACAAAAAAAGTCAAAAAAGTCAAAAAGCCCTTCCCAAATCAAGCTTTTGAGCCCAGACTCAAATAGTCAAAAAAGTCAAAAAATTAACCCACTTCCCAAACAGAGACTTATTAATTTATTGACATCCTATTCCCCTTCCCCCCCCCAAAAAAACTTTGGAACATATTTCAGATGGTCAAGTGCATTTTTGAGACTTACAAATAAGTGAAATAAATTACCTTTAATTTAATTTGATTGTAACAATATTTTCCCTAAAATAAATAAATGTTCAAGATGTAAATTGTACTTTGGAACATATTTCAGATGGTCAAGTGCATTTTTGAGACTTACAAATAAGTGAAATAAATTACCTTTAATTTAATTTGATTGTAACAATATTTTCCCTAAAATAAATAAATGTTCAAGATGTAAATTGTACTTTGGAACATATTTCAGATGGTCAAGTGCATTTTTGAGACTTACAAATAAGTGAAATAAATTACCTTTAATTTAATTTGATTGTAACAATATTTTCCCTAAAATAAATAAATGTTCAAGATGTAAATTGTACTTTGGAACATATTTCAGATGGTCAAGTGCATTTTTGAGACTTACAAATAAGTGAAATAAATTACCTTTAATTTAATTTGATTGTAACAATATTTTCCCTAAAATAATTAAATGTTCAAGATGTAAATTGTACATTGGAACATATTTCAGATGGTCCATTGCATTTTTGAGACTCGAACTATAGCCCAAATGATAATGAAAAGGCACTTAAGTGCTAGTTGATGAAAAGTTTGAATTCTTGAAGTGGGGTCAGTGCGTTGTAGTAATCTAATTCTACCAAGTAATTAACATCTTATTGTGTGGTAATTATTATATGGTAGGATGTTAGCAGAATGTTAATAATTTATTAACATTTAGATTAATACAAGTCGACGTGTTAATTCAACTTAAAATTTCATTTCATTGACACCTAAATATCACGAATAATCACTTGAATTATAATCCAGGTTAAAATCTTTTGGAGAACTTACCAATAAGTCTCATACACAAAATTCAAAACTCATCTAATCTCAAGATAAAATACTTACACCAATTAGTCCTATATATTTTTAATTGTTACCAAAAACTCCTTTTTAAAGAAAAAAAAATTACAGATGTTGCTACATCCCACTACCATCGGACTTCCGTCAGACGATCACCGGAGACTCGCCAGAATGTTCAACATCACCGGAAAGTCGCCGGAGCATTACCGGAAGTTCATCATAGTGTTTTGAACGTCAATAGAAGTCACCGAAATGTAAAGAATATTGTCTGAAAGAAAAAAAAAAGAAAAAAAAAATAATGAATGGAGAAATTAGAGTGAAAAAACATAGCAAAACGTACTAAATATTGATAAACTAAAAAGAAAAAAAAAATGTAACAACAAAAAATAGCAACAATGGGAAAAAACATATGTTATTTTTCAATTTTTGTAGGGTTTAAGTAAATAATTTCTAATATTAATTAAATTGAAAAGTAAGTTTTGAAACTGTAAAATATTACAGTTTTAAAGCAAAAATCTATTGAGCATTTATTCTTATTAATTAAACTGAAAAACATGTTATGAAACTGTAAAATTTTACAGTTCTAAAGAATGTTATGAAACTGCAAATTTTTACAGTTTTAAACCATGATTCATTCCAGCACAAAAAATTGAAACTGGAAAATTTTACAGTTTTTACCGCTTGTAACAAAAACTTAAAAACAACTTGTTCAGAATTTAAAAAAAAAAAAATTCTATTAAAACAGGAAAAGAGAAGTGTATATGTTACAACCCAAATCCACCCCTATGGTTTAGCATCGCAACCAGCCAGTAATCTGTGATTACCAAAGGCCTACTTAACAGAAATGACAGTAATACAGAGTAAGGGGCTGGCGGAAGCCAAACAGCAATAGAAAGATGTCCAATGAATTGTAACATTCTGTATGCAAAAAGACTTTTATAAACATATTTACATACATAACCAAAACATATTTACATAACGAGTGCACATAACATCCAGGTTAGGGATCGAGTCCCTCCAACAAAACTGTACAGTCAAGTCTAAAACATTCATTACAAACAAAGACAGAAGGGTGAAACTGAGACACCCCAAAAATAGCCTTGGCTTGACAGATTTGGAACCTCGAAGTGAGGCACAATGGTTGGCTTGACAAAACAAGAGCTAACCCGACGCTCCTAGCTCCGATCCGATGCCTGGACACCTACATATAAATATAAACAGTAAGCTAAAGCCCAATGAATAACAGCTGTGTAAAGAGGTTAAGAATGAATGTTCTTTCAGTATTTAAACAGTCATATCAGTCATTTAGAAACCAAAGCAATCATATGTGGTACATCTAATAGCAAAACAGTACAGTAGATCTTAACAGACCGAACAGTTAGTTGATAGCCATCATAACAGTAAACAGTAGTAGCTCCAATCATTGGAACCGACAGAGATCTCTGTAACAATAGCAGTAACAGTAACAGTACAGTAACAGTAAGTTGCTATGGATGCCACGAGTACAGTTCATAAAAATAGGACAAACATTCATTCAGTAAGCATTGTCATTTCACAAAACAGTACAATCAATCGTTCAGAAATAGATATGATTGAACGTATCTTTATAACATTGTTACTCACAGAGTGCTGGGCTATAGACAAGCTAACGAGCGTCCTCAAATGCTAACCCTACAGTTGCAAAATGAACACACACTTGGGATTAATAACTTCGCCCCTAACATGACTTGGTGTGGTTCTATAACATTATCCTCATTAAGATGCCTTAAACATGGCCTAGGAATGCTTAGGATGGGATGAGGATGCAATGTTACACTTTAAAACACTTTTCAAAATTTTGCTGAAACAGGGGTCTCGCTCGAGCGTGGCTTTCTTCGCTCGAGCGAGCTTACCAAAACAGAGGGGTCGCTCGAGCGTATACTTCCTCACTCGAGCAGTCTGTAAAAATGCAAAAGTGCTGGATGTTG